TTCAGAAAACTCTTTCTTGACCAGTGTTCATAATGTGTTCCCTTTTTTGGAGAAACATCAATAGTTTAATGTAGTGTATATAGTGCCAATTTTTATTGGTTTTAGATAAATTTTGGTGACAATTGTCTCTTGTACAGAAAGTGATGGAAATGTTTAAATTGTTTAGTTGTCACAGGAACAGAATTACTATTTAAAAATATGTCCTCTTACTTCCTCTGAGACAAGAAGTGAAGGGAAACATACAAATACATACATACATAAATAAATACTTCACAGGGGTCTTGACCATTACCTACTCTATTCCAAACTAAAAAGAAAAAGATTTTGGCTTGATATATACTTGAAATATCTTAATGTTCACATAATTTTTTAAAACAATGTTCAAGAATAAAATATATGTGTTTTAGCATTTATATTTTAATACTAGTGCATGTGGTTGTTCTTATTTCTGCTTCTTAGATTTTCCATAGCTATATCATGGCAAAGTGCTAAAGTGTTAATAGTTCCCTTATTTCCAGGATGAAGTCTGCACGGAGTTACACATCAGCACACAACAGCCTTAAGTGAGTGTTAACAGACATTCACATAATTATTGTTTGCAGTCATCATAAGGCAGTCAATAACACTTACTGTGCTTCACATTTCCTTCTCTGTGTAAGTGCAGTAGTTATTGCTTTAATAAAAGCATGTGTTCTTTTTATGCTACCAGGTTCTCTAGTAGGTTTTACTACTAAGAGAGATTTTGGGGAGTGTCTACTCAAAATATGCCTTGGTCTATTTTCTATTTCTGAATCTCATAAATTATTTTGACCTCCCTCAAGGCAGCAATTTCTTAAAAGACAGACAATTACTGCTGTCAGCAAACATGTTGCTGTAGTTCACTGGATGATTAGAGCTTGATATTTTGTTGAAGAGTGTGGATCAGTACAATAAGGAGATAAGCCACATTTTTAGATAATCATACCCAACATTTGTTTATCTTACATTATCAGCATTTGAATATGGCAATCATCTGTGTCTCAAATGGAAAGAGAAAATAATATATATATTTTTAGGATTTGTAGCTGCTAGAATGAAGCCTAGGGCAAGTAAAGATGAGACAAGAAATATGCAGTTAGCATGAGCTGTATATATATTGTGAGCTGGGCAATAGGTAGCGGGTACAATTGCTCCCTGGGGTGAGCAATCTTGCAAGGTTTAGAGACCAGACCAGTGACTTGTCTTCAAACAGTGTTACATTTATTGGTGCAACACACAGGCTATATACAGTGCTCAAAGAAAGTAAATACTTCAAAAACAAAATCCTAGCCGTGTCCCGGCACTAACTAAACATACGATAGTCCTGACTACCAACCTGTACAAACCTATTGTTTGTCAGGCTTCAGCAAAACACATTGACCAACCTTGTGCTCCAGCAGATAGAGACTGTCTGCTCCCCAAGCTCCAGAGCTCTGTCTGTGTGCCTCACCTGCACTAAATTGCCACTGAGGCAAAGCGTAAAACCTGGGGCTTACTATAGGTTTCGGAAGGTGTAAGAGAGGAATCTGGGTGACACATAAACCCCAGACAGGACCTCTCCTTGCTCTCTACATGATGACCTGCTACATACACACACACACACACACACACTGATAAGCCAGAACATTATGACCACCCTCCTAATTTTTAAATAGAACCCCCTTTTGCCCTGACTTGGTAAGGCATGAATTCAACCAGATCTCTGAAGGTATGCTGTGGTGTCTGGCCCTGTAAGGCCTTGTTCACAACAAATGCAGACCAGATCCAGTCAGGTTTCTGCACACGCAGTGCAGTGGGTTGTGCCGCGTTTTAGACGCGTTTTGGATGCGTTTTTGATGCGTTCATGGCCGGTTTTGGTAAAAAAAGTTTAACATGGGCTTTCAGGCACTTGCATGCGTTTTTGATGCGTTTTAGATGCGTTTTTGGTGCGTTCCAAACCAGATCCAGAGCAGGTAAAATAGGGCTTGCCGCATTTTTTTCATCCGGTCTGGATCTGGTCTGGATCCGCACGCTGCGATGTGAACTGGAGGTCAAAATACCATAGGAATACATTGGGCGCAGTTTTGATCCGGTCTGCACCTGCTCTGGTCCGGATCTGCTCCACGCTTGGTGTGAACAAGCCCTAAGTTGTTAGGTGGGGATCAGGCTTGTTTTTCCAGCACATCCCACAGATTCTCAATTGGATTGAGGTCTGGAGAATTTGGAGGCCAAGTTAAAACCTCAAACTCATTACTGTGTTTCTCAAACCACTCTTAAACTATTTTTGCAGTGTGGCAGGGCACAGTGTCTTGCTGAAAGAAGCCACTTCCATCAATAAAAGCTGCAGTTTTGTCATTGCTCTGACCAACTCAACTAGCCTTCACAATTTAATTCTTGTAAAAGTCAATCAAATTATTATTTATTTATTATTCATTATTTATTTATTATTCATTATGCTTGCCCATTTTTTCAGCTTACAGGATTTAAAAATCAAGGACACAATTTTCACCCGCTGCCTATATCCTACCCACTTCCAGGTGTCATTGGAATTAGATAATCAATGTTATTCACTTCACCTGTCAGTAGTAATAATATTGTGGCTGATCTGCTAATATTCACATATGTATTAATTCACCTTAAATACCTTAAAAGGAAAGTATAATGTTCTTTCTCAATTTTATTTAAAGCAGCCCTGTTGATAAAATAAATACTTACAACAAACTGTTCCCTGCAAAGTAGAAAGACAAATCTCCCTCCCTCTTTCTTAGCAGAGACAGTGCCATTATAAACTGACTACCAACAAGCATGCAGACATTGTAACGTTTGGGGTACTGCAGTTTTTCGCCGTTTCACGGTCGCACGCAATCTGTAAACTGGGCATGTTGGGTATTGTTTTACTCGTTGTAACCTCATCTTTTATATTTCATTAAAAAAATGGGTAATTTGTTGTGTTTTGGGGCATTTAATTAAATTTGTCACTAAATTTTGGGGTTTAATAAGGAGTTGCGCTAATATTGCGCAACATAAACATTTTCAACTACCACCATTTTATTCTATAGGGTCTTGGCATTCAGAAAATATATAATGTTGGGGGGTTTTACATCATTTTCAGGCCTAAAATGTGGAATATAACATGGGTGCAAAAAATGAAAAAAGGGCCTCAGTCATGAAGGGGTTAAAATAGCCCAGGAATACATTTTGTCACACATACCCCTAAACATTTCATACAACACATGTAAAAACATGTAATAATACAATAATTTCTAAACATATTAAGCTTAAAATAAGTTGTAAGTGGTTTGTCATTATAATACATATTTAAAGCAAACAGCCCCCTGCAAAAAAAAACGTATAGCTTCTCTTGCTGCCCGTACTACTGGTATTTCAAGATATGTGGAAAAACCTCTGGCTGAAGATACTGCAGAATGCAAGACTTCTGGGGGTATGTTCCTTGGGTTCTTGTCTTGTGCTGTTGTTTCTCCCAAATATTTATTTCACTTTAAACATTTTTCAAACTTTCAAACTACATTTTTTACAATAATTTGTGAATGTGTTTACTAAAAAATGTTTGTGGTTCCATGATGCAAAGCATACCTGGGCCTTCTAATACAACAAACTAGCACTTCCTGCATTCTTGCTTTTGCCTGTTTATAATTTGCCAAGATATTTGGCCCAGTTTCTGCCTGTTTTTTTTCTGAGTCATTCTACAGTGTGTAAATTGTGATCTCTCCTCCTATTCAAGTTTCTTTCTCAACACAGCTGTAGAAAAAAGTTCACAGAAATGTAATGCTCTGGCTTTGAGCTGCTGTTAAAATTGAAGTATTTTATTCTACCATGCATACTCTTACTCTGCTTAATGATTTCAGTGTAGGTCTTAATTTTGTGAATAATGTTTGATGTATTAAAAGCATATGAGACTATATAGACATTGCTACATATAATCTCTGAGCTTATTACAGTTGATATTATCTTATGTGTCTCTCTTTGCTGTCAATTAAGTATGTCCTCCAGTTCAGTTTATTAAGTATTGTAACCAGACAGGTGAACCCTAAATAAGCAAGCTGATTCATTAGATTCCGAATGTTCAGCAGATCAGGCTGGTTTCTGCGAACACATTTTTTTGTACTAACCCATCTGTGCTTTTGTGCATCACCATTTGCTCAGTGTTACCAATTATTTTATTAAGCTGACTCCATTTGGTGAGTCTGCTCAGATGTACCCAAGAACCCCCCCCCCCCCCAAAAAAAAAAAAGGGGCCAAAAAAGAAAAAAAAATTAAAAAAACTAAAAAAGTTTTTAAAGCCCCCCC